GAGTCCAGGACTCAAACCACAGACAGTCATGTGGGAGTTCAATACCTTAACTGCCATGTCACCTGCTGGCTACATACATGTTTTTAGAGATATATACTTAAGCATCTCACTGTTTTTTTTGTTTTGTTTTTGTTTGTTTGTTTTTTCCCAGAGGGTGTGTGTATTTGCCAAAAAGAGAGAGGGAGAAAAGGAGAGGGAACATGAAAAAACACCTCCGTGGGGAATGGCCACACCTCAATCCCCTTCCCTCCATTTCTCCTCTCAACATTTTGGGCACACAGGCACACATACTCGTGTGTTTCTAAAGCACCAGGTCCAGGACTCAAGTCACGTGGTTGGCCACGTGGAATCCAGCCTCCTTAACCACCAGATCCTCATTGTGCTTTTTTATGCTGTCATAAGAGGTCATTAAAAAAAAAAAAATTGGTATCAAATTCCAAATGTTCATTCATACCATTCAGAAACAGATTTTGATTTTCATACATTGACCTCTTATCAAATGTCCTTGCAGAATTCACATATTGGTTCTAGGAGCTTTGATATAGATTCTTTGGGCTTTTTCTGTATAAACAACTATGCCAATGCTAATAGAAACAGTCTTTTATTTCTTTCAAAATTGTCTTCTTTTCATTGACTTTTTCCTGGCTTCTTAAACTGACTAGGATCTCTAGTGTGATTTTGAACAGGAGAGGCAAGAACAGGCATCCTTCCTTGCCTTGTTCCATTCTTAGGAGGAAACCATTAGATCTTTCACAATTAAAAGGCAATATTATGTGTTTTGGTTTTTGTTTGTTTGTAGAGGACTTCCCCAGGTTGAGGAATTTCACTTCTTTTTTTAAAAAATTTTTTATTCATTTATTCATTTTAATTTGACAAGAGAGAGAGAGAAAGAGAGAAATCAAGCCACCAGATCTAGGAATTGAACTGTGATCAACCATGTGGGAGTGTCCAGCACCTTAATCACCATACCACCTGCTGATCCCAAAGAATTTCACTTCTGTTCTTAGTCTGCTGAGAATTTTTAGTATGAGTGGATATTGAACTCATAAACAATACTTTTTCTGCATCAATTAAGATGGTCATACAACTTTTATGTTTTGTCTGTTGATATAGTGGATTACATTGATTGATTATTGAATGTTGAGACAGCACTGCATTCCAACAATTAAACCTCTATTTGGTCATGCTTATTATCTTTTTCATATCAGTTATATTAGATTTGCTGATATTTTGTGGAAGACTTTTTTTCTATGTTCATGAACTATACTAGTCTAAAATTTTCTTTTTTCTTGTTTTTAGAGGTTTTTCCTTAGAGCACATATGTTTGCCAGGGAGAGAGACAAAGACAGTGAGAGAGAAAGTTAGAAATCACTCCCCAGAGGGGATGGCCTTGCCACAATCCCTTCTCGGTTCTCTTCCTGGGATCTTGGGCATGCAAGTACACATGCCCAGCATGAGTTTCAAGCCACTGGGTCCAGGAATTGAACCACAGTCAACCATGTGGGAGTCCAGCGATGTAACCTGCTACACCATCTGCTGGTCTAGTTTTCTTTTCTTATAATGTCTTTGTTCGATTATAGTACAAGGGTAACACTATCTTATAAGATGAAACAGGAAGTGTACTCTTCAACTTTCTGAAAGTGTGTGTGTATAATTGGTGTTATTTCCTTCTTAAATGTCTGGTAGAACTTACTGTGAAACCACCTGGGTCTGGAGTTTTCTTCGTTGTAAAATATCTTTTTTTTTAATTATTTTATTCAGTTTTTATTCAATTTCATTATTCATTCATTCATTTATTTTAATCTGACCAGAGAGACAGACAGAAAGAGAGAGAGAGAGGAAAGTGAGAAAGTGAGAGAGCAAACGACCAGCTCCGGGACTCAAACCATGGTCGGCCATGTGGGAGTGTCCAGCTCCTTAACCACTATGCCACCTGTTGTTCCTCATTGTAAAACATCTTAATTGTCAAATTTATTGATGTAAAGATTTTATAATATTTTCTTATTATCCTTTATGTATCTATAGAATCTTAACTGATGCCCCTTTTATTCCTGATAGTGGAAATTCACATTTTTTTCTTGAATTATCTGGCAAGAAATTTGTCAACTTCGTTGATATTTCAAAGAACCAGATTATGGTGTAATTGATTCCTTTTTTAAATTTTCTTGATTTCTGATCTCTATTATTTCCTCTTTTTGCTTAACTGGGTTTAACTTATTCCCTAGTTTATTACTGATAGCATATGTTATTGTTTTGAAACTCTTCTAATATAAGTATATAAGGCCATAAATATCTCTTAATGCACTGTTTTTGCTGCATTCCACAAATTTTGATGTGTTGTGTTTTCATTTTTGTTCAATTTTAAATATTTTCTCATTTTCTTTGTGACTTCCTCTTTGATCCATGAGTTATTTGTAATATGCATGTGTGTGTGTGTGTGTGTGTGTGTGTGAGTGTGTGTGTGCGTGTGTTTTAGGGAGAGATTTTTGCTATAGGGTGTGTGTGCTCACTAGAGAGACAGAGAGACAAAGTGAGAAATTACCCCTCCAAGGGGATGATCACACTACAATCCCTTCTCCATTCCCCTCTTGGGATTTTGGGCACACATGCACACATCCCCTGCCAGTTTCAAGTCCCTGGGTCTGGCACTCAAACTGCAGTCAGCCATGTGGGAGTCCAGTGCCTTAACTAGTGTGCCACCTGCTAAGCCTTATAAATATATTTTTTAACTTCTAGATATTGGAGGATTTCCCAGGTATGTTTGTTATTGGCTTCTAATTTAATTCCATTGTAATCAGAGGAAATACTTCATATGATTTCTACTGTTTTACATTTGTTGTGGTTTGTTTTATTGCCCAGAATATGACCTATCTTGGTAAATATTCCATGTGCACTTTAAAAAGTATGTGTATTCTGATGCTGTTGGGAAGAGTATCCTATAAAGGTCAATTGCATTAAGTTTTTCTTTCTTTTTTCTTTCTTTCTTCTTTTCTTTCTTTCTTCTTCCTTCCTTCCTTCTTTTCTTTCTTCCTTCCTTCCTTCCTTTCTTTCTTTCTTTTTCTTTCTTTCTTCCTTTCTCTTTAATTTTTTTTTTGAGAGGTTTTTGCTATCGGGCGCGTGCACTCGCCAGACAGACAGAGAGAGACAGAGAGACAGAAAGCGAGAAATCACCCCCCAGAGGGGATGGTCACGCCACAATCCCTTCTCCTCCATTCTCCTCTCGGGATCTTGGGCACACACGCACACGCGCCCGGCGTGAGATTTAAGCCACTGGGTCCAGGACGCGAACCACGGTCGACTACGTGGGAGTCCAGTGACATAGCCATTACACTAACTGCTGGTTCCCTTCTCTTTAATTTTGTAATAGCGCACATGTGCTCACCAGAGAGAGGGAGACAGGGAGAAAGGGAGAAGGAGAAAGAACCCACCAATGGGGCATGATCATGCTGCAATTTCTTCTCTTCCATTTCTTTACTCCGTAGAAATTTTAGGCATACACATCCCTTACTAAATGTATAGTTTACAAATACTGTCTCCCAGTCCATAGGTCGTCTCTTCACTGTATTAATCATCTTTTGATGTACAGAACCTCTGTAGGCTGATGTAACCTTATTTGTCTACTTTTAATTTTTTAAGAATTATTTTTATTTAACTTTATTATCATCATTTATTTTAATTTGAGAGACAGAGAGAGAGCGAGAGAAAGTGAAACAGGAAGTCACCTGGTCCGGGACTCAACCTGTGGTCAGCCACATGGGAGTCCAGCACCCTCAACCACCACGCCACCTGCCAGACCTCTTACTTTTACTTTTGCTGCCTGTGCTTTTGGGGTCCTATCCAAAAAAATCTTGTGGAACTTTCCTCCCTGTTTTCTTCTGTGGTTTTACAGTTGCAGGTCTTATGTTTAACAGTCAACTCATTTTGAGTTAATTTCTGTATATGGTGTAACATAAGGGTCCAATTTCATTTTTCTAGATATGAACATCCAGTTTTCCCAACACCATTTATTGAAAAAACTGTTTTTTCCCTACTATTTGGTCTTGGCAACTTTGTCAAAAATTGACAATAAATGAATGAGTTTATTTCTGAGCTTTCTATCCTGTTCCATTGGTTGGTGAGTGTTTTTATACCTACCATGCTGCTTTACTTTCAATATTTTTATAATATATTTTGAAATCAGGGAGTGTGGTGATCTTTTCCACTATTAATCACAGAGGAAACTACAGACAATAGTGATGCAATATGCATTCTAAAAAGTGGGGATAGAAGGGTTGTCTCACTAATAACATTGGTCAGAAAAGCAATATGAGGTTTAAAAATAAATAAATAAAAAGAGGTAGCACACACAGCCAAGCCCTGCTCTGGAAAACCTAAAGCAAGGGGCCAGCAGGTGGTGTGGTAGTTAAGGATGTTGGACACCAACATGGCTGACCATGGTTTGAGTCCTGGACCTGGTGACTTGCTTTCTCACTTTCTCTCTCTCTTTTGCTTTCGCTCTGTCCCTCTGTGGTCAAATAAAATAAATAAATAAATAATGTTCAAATAAAATAATTCTTTTAAAAAAAAAAAGAAAGAAAGAAAGAAAAGAAAAGAAAACCTAAAGCAACTCACATGTGTCAATTCATTGGTGAAGCGTTACAGATGTGTCCAGGCAACAAGACCTCTTGGAAACACCCAACTGAGAGGACTTACCTCATATTTAACCTTTTCTTTTTTTTTCCTCTTTTTTTCTTTTGGAGAGGTTTTCACTATAGGGCAAAACCTGTGCTTGCCAGAAAGACAGAGAGAGAAAGAGGAGATAGAAAGCGAGAAATCATCCCTCAGGGGGGATGGCCACGCCGTAATCCCTACTCCTCCATTCTCCTCTCAGGATCCTCCATTCTCCTCCAGAAGGTCCTATGGTCCCAAGGTGCCATGGTGGCACCCTTTCACTGTGCCACCGTGGCTAGGCCCATGCTTCACTTTTCAATTAGAGTCAAAAAGTTCTGGAACTTGTTTGTGTTTGTTTTATTTGTTTTGTTTTCTGAACAAGTCAGAAGAACAATTTTGCCTTCTGGCACAACAGAAGCAGTTAAGAACACCTTGAAGCTTTGTTTGAATCTCGTAATAGCTGGTGTTGGCCTTAAGAAGTCCCTGTGCAGCCTGGCTTGTTTCTCACTGAGAATGAGCTCCAAACCAGAATCTGAATTACTGCAATGGCCAGTGGACCCAGGCAAATCAAACTAAACATATCCTCATGAAGATCTGCAAGTACACTAAGGGGGAAAAAGATATAAAACACAGTTATTTTTTTCCAGTGGCTTTTCTTATTAATTCAAAATTATTAAATAAAGGGTTTCTGCAAAGTTCTGTTATCTACCGGCCCCTTTAAAAACTAAAGGACATTGCATCAAATCATCTTTATTCTAATTGAATAATTCATACCTTCTAGCTGCTCACACCAGAGGATGCTGACATGTAAACCTCTGATCACAATGCCTGGTGAAAAAATGCTACAGTTGCAATAACCACACACTGCATGGGAGGCTCAAGGACAGAGGCCAAGGTATGGGTACAATGCAGAGGGATATACATGCTCATATTCATAATCCTTTCATCTCCTGCAATTACCATCCGACGAATTTTAAACATTCAATACAACTGATACAAGAGGAAACCAGGGCCAATAATAATATACAGAAGTGACATGGCCTAGTTCTCTGCTTAATGGAAGAAATTCCATTAAGAATTTCTGAAGATTCCTATGGTACTCAATTATATTTCAGATAGATCTTATTTTTCATTTAAATCATATACAGTAAAAGGGAGGTCTTCATTATTCAGAGGCTGGTTTTCCAGTCTATAGCTTCTTTTTGGTTATCTGAGTTATTCAAAACAGCACATTATTATTAGGTTGTTAGGAAAGTCATGATGTATTTTTCTGGTTTTATATGCAAAAATGCATCATGACTTTCTCGACAACTCAATAATTTAGCCAACTGAAGAATGACATGAAAAAGTCAAACTATCTAATGCAAGAAGAGGAGGCAGGGTGTTACACTGTCGTACTAAAACCAATCACTATGACCAGAACCTATGTATCATGCATTCTTCCAAAACAGTAGGTATTATGTGATTATTAATGTATTAGGTAGGCATGGGGCTAAATACTGGGTATTCCATGTAGACAAAACTAGTAAGAGTCTCTAACCTCATGGAGCTTGGATCCTAGTGCAGGAGATAGATATTAATCCTGAATAAGCTTGATTTACATATAATTACAGAAGATGACAGAAAAAGTGTCATGATGGGCGAGCTCAGAGTATTAGATGAGAACTCACCGTCAGAAGGTCTAACCTACTCTTGGGAAGTGGAGTCCAGAAAAATGTCTCCCCAAGGAAATGGTATTTGAGCTGACTTCTGGAGGATAAGGAGGCATTAACTAGATGGCCTCTGCCTAGATCATGTGCAAAACCTCCAGCTATCACTGTTTCTCCCTCTAAAAGCCATAGCTGGGAATATCCTTGGTGCTCTGGACTGGACTGCATTTGTTAGGTATGGCCATCTTCCTAACTGCTCCTTGAGCCCCCTTCACCTTCTGTGCTGCTCAGTTCAAGAACTGATTATTCCCTACCCACTCTCCATTCTTCTGCTGCTGCTACTTCTCAGATTCTCGTATAACCATAGACTCCAGGCTCACAAGCTGGACTGCCCAGAAGCTGGACTGGACCTCTAGAAGTAGCAGAAGAACTAATCGTGCTGTCAGAACGTGGTTACACTTCTGCTCTACTCAAACTATGGGAAGCCTCATTTCTAGAGGCATATGGTGTTTTGTCTTCCCGGCATCCATTGCTTTAGTTAAAACCCTCTCCCCTCTTCCACAGTGAGCCTGCGTTGGTCCTTATGACCGTCCCATTCCCACCCCCAAGGTCAAGCACGTGGCAGACCTGGCTAGAACCCCTCAGTAAGGGGCAGGTAGCTCGCACAGTGCCTTTCTGTGTCTACCCAGGGACTTTGGCTGTGCTGCTGGGACAAAAGCACAATTTCTTATGACTCTGGGCAGTAAGGCTCAGGTAAACAAATGGAGTTATTTTGCTGCCATGTGGTAAAAGCTTGCACCAAAGGGCCAGTTGGGGGTGGTGAAGTGGTAATGCACTGCTCAAGTGAGTCTGGATTTTTTTTTTTAGAGGTTTTTGCTATAGGGCACGTGCACTCACCAGACAGACAGAGAGAGACAGAAAGACAGAAAGCGAGAAGTCGTCCCCCCACCCCGGGGGCGGGGGGAAGGCCACGCCACAATCCCTTCTCCTCCATTCTCCTCTCGGGATGTTGGGCACACATGAACACGTGCCCGGCGTGAATTTAAGCCACCTGGTCCAGGATGCGAACCGCGGTCAACTACATGGGAGTCCAGCGACATAGTCATTACACTAACTGCTGGTCCCTCAAGTGAGTCTGGATCCACATGGAAGATCATAGGCTTGGTCCCCCTGTACTCTCTACACAGAATGCGGTGCCTGCAATCCTGGCTGGCTGCGAAGGTTTGGGGGGAGGGTATCAGCATGAGACCCTGTTAAAGGTGTCTTTCTCTCCCCTTCTCATGAAAGAATGACATTTAAAATGAAAGTTGTCACCCAACCCAGAGGTGGTATCAGAAAAGCAGGTCTCTGGCATCACTTCAGATCTCGCTCTGCCTGACTTTCAAGTCCTAGAAGCTGGTATGCTCCTTTGATGTTTACGTTACCTGCTTACATTAGGATTTCTGTCACTTGCAGCCAAAATGGCCGAATCATGTGCTTTCTGATTGGCAAAGCCAAAAATACCATCAATTAGCTGCTTCTGACCACTCTAGGGAAGCGATTCAGGAATTTCTAATTCATGACTACCAGTCAGGACATAGGAGACTTGAAACGGCTGAGCACAGGTTTCAAGAACGAGAAGAGAAGGTCATGACTGCGGTTCTGAATTCGATGTGGGCGCTCACAAGCACGAGACTTCTCTCGCTGACTCTGAATAGTTGCTGATTGGAACCACGAGACTGAAGGGAAGAACTGGACAGACGATGGGTGCAAGATGCGAGACTGTAATATTAGGTCATCAGGAAAGACATGATGTATTTTTCTATGTAAAAATGCGTCATGACTTTTCCGACGACCCGAAATAAGCCCACATTCCACTCTGAAGTGGCATAAAACACACATATCTCAACACAAAAATGAAAGGACATGGCCTAATCACGACCTTTAAGCGGAGGGATGCACAGAGCCATGGCCATGAGCTACTGGTCACAGAATTGTTACAACATGTGCTCAGAAACTGAGTATCTTATGAAAAGACTGGTTTCTGCTTGGCTGAGGCACATCTGTGCTTTTGTCTGGAGTGTGTTTGGTAAGCAGCAGGGGGTCCTTACCCCTCAGCATCCTTTAGTTATAACAGATTCCAGGTTCAGAAATATCAAGAAATCAGATGTCAGCTACCAGGGCTTCTCTCTGGGAGATTTTCGATCTGTGAGACAGAATTGTCTTTATCTCCTTTTTCCATGGTGAGAGAGTGTGGGGAACACCTCTGAAACCCGCAGAGGCAAAGCTTTGTGCTGCGAGCCGACAACACTGCACAGAGAAAGCACATCCTGGAAGTTCAAGGGCGAACAGGAATGAACACTTAACCGACTAAGACAATTTGATAACTACCATGTTGTGTTCAGACCCAACCCTTGTAGGCTTATGTTGTGTTACTGAAGTTGCAATCGTTTTCAAGAATCTTATTTATCTATTTTTCTTGGAGCAAGTGAGAAAGTGACAGGCATCCCCAACAGGGTCCATGAACCACTCCCAGTCTCAGCTAGTATCCCAGGTATAGGCACGCATGCCTGGCATGCCCAGGGAGGTCCCAGGACACAACCCAGGACCTTCCCCTGTGGGTCCAGCTGTCCCACCACTGCACTCCCACCTGGCTTCTGAAGGTGCAAGCATTTTAATGACTTCATAGTCTCCAAAGTACAAGTGAATTCCCTTCTGCTTCACTGTATCTCTGTATACTCTTCCAAGATTTCCTTGGAATTTTAGAGAATTTCTTTTCCTGTCTCACATTACTTTATTATTTCTATCCAATGGTATATGAAAAAGCTTACTAAGTTAGGTTATTCAGTTTTCAAAATGTCTTCACCTCTCATTTCTAACCTTAACATAAAATAAATCTCTGGTAGAAAATAATTCTTAAGCCCTGCTTAAGCTTCCATTCATTCAACAAACATTTATTGCACACTTACTACTTAGGTGCTTGGAATACAGAGTGAACAAATCAGCAATAATCCTTGCCCTCAACAAAGCTTACATTCTAGTGGAGGTAAAGAGATATTAAACAAATATATTTATTATCATCTTATAATAATAACAATAGCACTTCTTATGGAAAGGGTTTTACACTCAATCTTCTCTCACCATCTTCCACTTTTAAAATAAAAATATATCTGGGGCCAGCAGGTAGCATGGCAGTTAAGGGCACTAGACTCCCACATGGCTGGCCACAGTTCAAGTCCCAGACTTGGCAGTTTGCTTTCTCACTTTCCCTCTCTTTCTCTCATGCTATCCCTCTCTGGTCAAATTTAAATAAATAAATAAAGTTAAATAAAATAATTCTTTAAAAATAAATAAATTTTAAAATACACCTTCCCGGGGAACAGTGGTTGGCGTGGTGGTTGGGATGCTGAACATTCCCACATGGCAGATGATGGTTCAAATCCTGGACCTGGTGGCTTGCTTTCTCACTTTCTCTCTCTCTCTAGTCAAAATAAAATAAGTAAATGAATAAATAAAATTAAAAATAAATAATTACTTTTAAAAATATACCTTCCCTCTGGTAATAATATTTTAAAATATTACTGTTGGAGCCAGCAGGTGGCATGGTGGTTAAGGCGCTGGATTCCCACATGAACAACTGCAGTTCACATCCTGAACCAGGTGACTTAAAAATCACAACAAATGAATAAATAAATGATTTAGGTTTTTTATTTTTTAATTACTGTCTAGTGTCCTTTACTTCATTTTCTTAGCTTCTACCTGCTAGACCATTTGTAAATTCTGCCCTATGAGGTAAGGGGGCCATATCAATGATCATACTCTCACCTATCATCCTATCATACTCAAGAGCTTAAATTTTACAAAACTAAAGCAGCATCTGTCTCCATTCCACTCTGTTTTTTCCCTATCCATATCAGCCCCGAAAGTACACAGTTAATAAGTTACTTCCTAGTAGCATCAATGAAATAACTGTATGG